AGTAGTAAGTGCCTTCCAAAGAAAAAAATTTAACGTGTCCCGTAGACCGTGACCACTTGTACGTGATGAAAAATCATTCGAAATTTCGCATCACCGAATATGCGCATCGTTTGTGACGAAACAGTGGAAAAGAAAAAGCAGAAGAGAAAAAAGAGAAATACAGAGAAGAGAGAGAGAGAGAGAGAGAGAGAGAGAGAGAGAGAAGCAAGAAACAGTATGACAGAGATGCGAATAATTATTTGTGGGGACGTTGCGTAAAACTATAAAACATTTCTTCTTAGCACGTATTCTCTTCGTCTCGTCTCGAAGTGTTAGCGACGCTGCGCGATTTCTACGAAGATTAGACAACACGGTTTATAGTCGAGGATAGAAATGACGAAAGGAGGAACTCGAATATTTTGCGAAAACTTTTCGGCTTTCCTTTCGAACGATGCGACACCATGCTGCCCGGATCGGATTCGTTCGAATTGTCACGGTGCTCGTATCGGATCTGGAGGGGAGGATTTTTTCCGTCGATTACGCAATGTGTCTACGAATCTTTTTGTGTGCGTGTAGAGCGAATGTACAGAATCTACAAGCAAAACCCAACAAAATTTCTGTTTCGGATCAACCCACCACCGGTAATACCCTGAATGGCATATTCTCGTAAAACGTTTCTTTTCTGATTCGCTTGTACGAGAGAGAGAGAGAGAGAGAGAAAGAAAGAGAGAGAGAGAGAGAGAGAGAGAGAGAGAGAGAGAGAGAGAGAGAGAGAGAGAAAGAGCAGAAATGGATGGTGAAACAGGAGAGGGGGGGAAAAGCGTGTAACTTGAATTACCAGAAGGAACGGATATTTCGGAAATCTTTCGTTTATGCAATTTTGATATATCTGTGAACAGATGAAGGAAAAAAAGAAACAGAGATACTTATATTACATACATAAGGTGTAAGTGTGATATATTGACGCTATAAGGTTGCTGGCTGGATGCGTTTTACGTGGCAGAGGAAGATGATGCAAGTTTTCCGTTCAAACGTCGTCGAGGACGAAACAAAAGTTCACGGGGAGAATTAAGTTAGACAAAAGTAAGGACCTTAGAGTCGAAGACAAAGTAGCTCTTAGAATTTTTATCGAGGCAACATAAGGACGGACGGGCGTGACGTTAGTATACTACTTTCGAGAGAACCTTTACCCCATTTGTCCTCGTGGCTTCTCTGCGTTTCGCTCTCGCCTATCGATCGGCTTCCTTCGGCTTTTCCTCGTCTTCTCGATCCCCGTCTTGCCTCTTACGCGTTCTCATCTTTCCCGATTTCTCCGCCAATTCACGAGCCGATGAAAACCGTCGAACACGGCTGGCAAGACGAATACGTAGATGGGTATACAAAGAGGATGGAAAGTCGCGAGAAGAGGCCCTCTAGCAAAAATATTTGCGAAAATTCGCGCGGGAAAATCTGAATTGCAAACGAACGAGCGAGCGAGCGAGCGAGCGAGACGCGTTCAGCCGCGAGTGACAAAAGGAACACACTCGGTTGCAGCTACAAAAAAAGAAAGGGAGAGAAAAAGAAAAGAAAAAAATAGAAATTTCTAACGTTCGTTCTAGTTGGAGAACATACCGCGAAACAGGATCTGAAATGTGTATTACGCACGCGCCGAATCTTTCCTTTATTTTCGCCTTAGCTTTCAAGGTGTAACGTCGTATTATAACGGTCGACCTGACATACACGCCACACTTATACACGAATGGGAAAAGAAAAAAAAAGAAAACGAACACCGAAGGGAATGCTAAGCAAGTGTAAGAATAAATGCGATAACGAAGCGTAGTAATCCCGTATCCGCGATTTACGACTAGTTTACAGGATGTAACAGACGTATATAACCGGCGTTTCGCCGGGGGGACGTTACGACAGCGGAAGGAACGCGGTTAAAAAAAAGAACAGACCGTTCGATTCCCGTTACCGTTTCTCTGCTGCGGTAATGGCCGAACCTTCGAGAATAAACTAGGCATGACATCCTAATTTACAGAAAACTATTAGTCGAACAATAGAACCGCACATTTTTCAGAATCCGATTATTTAATCGTATACATTCGGCCCTGGGCCAATATCCGAACACACGTGTATCCACACACTTACACACGCGCACCCGACCACTTACACACACACACACACCGAACAACACAAAGTATATGATACATACATTGTATACGGCCAGGGATGAACGCTGGCGA